TTTCCCTACCCTTTCATTCAAATTTAAGTTCCAACCAGGCGTCAGGCACTGTATACATGGAGGATAAAACGAGGGTAAAATATCATCCCTGTTCCCAAAGACCATCCAATCTAGTTGGGGTGGGGAACTTAAACAGGAAAAAAACAGGAACTTAAAATTAATTGTTAAGTGCTAGGCTAGGGTGCTAAAAGAATATTTAGACTGAAAGCAAGACTATCCAACTCAGGCCTGAGGGTCTGAGAAAAGATCTGAGGTCTAGAGAGTCCAGAGGATGAGTGGTGTTAGGCCAGGCAAAAGGCTGTCCAGGTGAAGAAAACCTGGATGTTCAAAGAGCCTCAGGTTAGATAACACAAGCTGATGCATCTGCAGACAGTACAATAAGTCGAAAAGAAGATATGGAGATATCCACAGGAAATGTCTAACAAGCAGATGAAAATGCAGGTTTTGAGCTACCAAATATATTTTCAACCTAACAAGCAGATGAAAATGCAGGTTTTGAGCTACCAAATATATTTTCAACCTGTCTTTGGTGGCTTAAAATCATCTTTAGTGCATATTTTATATAAGAATTGGGAGAATCTCACACATCAGCAAGACTGTGTACACTTCCACCTTCTCCCATCACTTCTACTGTCAAGCAAGGGTATCTCTGCTTAAAGTCAAACCAGGTTTATATAAATAAGCAAAGAGGACTAGTGGGGACTGTGGAAAATCTTAGACAGATGCCTTGTCTAAAGAGGGCAGCCATTTACTCAGCTCCAGCAGCTTACTGCCTTGCTTGAATGCTGGCCCAATGTGGAGAGATCTTCCTATTCTCCAAGAAAAGCTCAAAATTCAGATTTTATGTAATATCTCCCATTTGAAAATACTGGCTTCTGATTACATTAAAAATAAGACAACACTATGCCAGCCAAAAAAAATGCTTCTGTGGACAGATTTCAGCACGGGCCACCAGTGTGGCAGAGTTAGACCTGGTCTGCTAAATCCTCCAGTGCTCTTCTCACTACCTCATAGGAGCCTCAACTGATAGGGTTTCATGGTGACTCCCATGGGATAGGAGCTGCTTGCTTCCAAGCAAAACAGCCCCAAACTGATAGTGCTTTATTAGTTCTTTTATATATTGTCAATAATTTTTGTCTCTTCCCCCCCCTGGTCAGGATCCCTGCCTCTAGCATCACTGAGACTTCCTACTCCCCTTCTATTACAACCTAAGATGGCAAGCTTGCAGGTAAAGCAAAAGTAAACAGAGAGCCTGACAGGATTTCTAATGAATAAAGCAGGTAAGGCATATGGCAAAGATTTGGTTTTCTTAGAAAACAATTATCACAGAGATATCTGTGACTAGTCAGATACCTGAGCAAAAAAGTAGTAACTTATATTTGAAATATATGAGCAATTTCTACTAACAAACCAAATAGGTTCCATTGTGAGCTACCAAGAGGGGGAGGGAGAACATGGCAAAAGGGAAAGTAAAAGTTGCTGTCCTTTGAGAAATATCAGATACCTCTTAAAACACAGTTTTTTAAAGTATAAATGTTTAAAAGGTACACTATAATCTCAACTCTCAGTGAGAAATAAAAATAGTTTAAAATCAGATAACGTGAAACATTCTTCGAGCAACAAGAAATGGGGATTTAGAAACACTATCAAAAGAGTAAAGCTATCCTTATATTTATAAGAAGAGGTAAAAGGAAAACAAAATAATCTGATAGTTTTTAATATTCATTCAGAGATCAGTTGCTGATGTTTTAGTGTATTATTAAGTCACAACGTTGCTTCAGGAGCTCTGAAAATCTAACAACACTTCCTAATTATACTAAAACGTGTAAAAGTACAGATCACGGGGTATATAACTTTAGATAACAATGTGGCAAACTCGAAGAAACACAGAAATGTTAAAATTTCTAATCAACAAAGCGAATGACAGTACCAAGATTTTGAGAGAGAGAGAGAGAGAGAGACACGGGGTGGGGGGGGGCGGGGAGAGAAAGAGAGAAAGGGAAGGGAAGAAAGGAAAGCAAGGAAGGAAGGAAGGAAGGCCAGTGGCATGTGCACCCGCCCCTGTGAATCGGAGGAGTCGGGGAATTCAGGGGAATGAAGAGTGATTACAGAGGGCGAGCAAAGCAGGCCCTGTTCCTGCTGGCAGGCGAGCTCTGCAATTACTTAGAGCAAGCATTATGGCCAGAGCATTCTGGAGCCCACTTAGACGAGATGACTGGACACCTAAAACCGGAGGCTGACAGCAGCTCGGGGAGAGGACCGAGAAGGCGGAAAAGTGGCTTGCTTTGACCTCCACTGAAAACGGAGGCTCCTCCAACTCTCGTCTCTGAACCAGGGGCAGGGCAGTAAGCTCTCTGCGGTTGGATTCTTCGGACAAACTCTCTCAGGCTCCCTGCGGCCTTCCCACACACCACACCGGGTGAATGTCAACACGGAGAGCCAGCGAGTGTGAGGGAACCTCTCGGTGCGCGCCGTCCTTTCTGGGAGGCGGTGAGACCCGGAAGAAAGACGGCTCCGCGCGCGCCCCGCCTCCCAGCCCTTCGCCAGCCCCGGCCCGGCGCCCTCGCAGGGGCTGCAGCCGGGAAGCGCGCTCCTCACCTTTTTCAGCGCAGGCACCAGCAGCCCCCGCCACTTGGGCGCGTTCTCCTCGCTGAAAAACTCGTACGGCAGCTGCTGCGCCTGCATGGTGCCCCCGGGGCGCCTCCGGGTTGGGAGAGGGGCGGCGGCGGCCGGGCCGGGGAGCCGCGAGAGGGCGAGCTCTTAGCGCGGAACAGGGCCGCGGCCCCACCGGACGGCCCGGCCCCCTCGGGACGCCGAGCGGCCGGGCTAGCCCCGGAGAGGGAGCTGGGTGGCGAAGCCCGCGCCCGGCCACCCACCCGACACGGACACCAGCAGCGAAGAGCGAACGCAGCCCGGAGGCGGCGGCGGTGGCATCCCGCACCACCGCCCCGGGGCCGGGCCCCCACTCCTCCCCGGCCCGCTGGCGCCGCCCCGGGTTGCCCTCCGCCGCGGTCGCCGCCCGCCCGCCCGCCGGGGCTGCGCTCCCGGGCCCGGCCTGGCCCCGAGGCGGAGCCGGCGGCTGGGGGAGGGCGTGTGGACGGACACTCCGGCCGCGGCGCCCGCGCGGCAGGGACCCCGAAACGCGAGCGACCCGGGGCGGGGCGGAGCTGGGCGCGGGGTGTAGCGGGGGAGGGGAAAGGCCCGAGGTCGTTGTTCGGGAATCCGGCTGCCTGAGGTGCCGCCGCGGCCGCCGCCGACGCCGGTGTAGCGCTAGAGCTTCCTACTAACGAACTGAACCTGCCTGCTACTGAGCATGCGTCGCCGGGCAGGGCCGGTTCGCTCCGGGTTTTCCGGCTCCCCAGCCAAGGAGGAGGGAAGCGCGAGAGAGCGAGGGAGGGCTCCCCGCCGGGCTGTGGCTGCGCCCCCGAGGTCTGCACGGGGAGGAGCGACAGGGCCCCGAGCGGTCGAACCCCCGGCCGAGTGGGGCCTGCGGGGTGGGGTGCGAGCTACGGTGAAGCGGCCCCCATTGTGTGGTTGGGCCGAGAAGGATCCCACCCCTCTCTCTGAGTCCCTGGGCCTTTCGTTTCGGAAAGGGGTGTGTATCTGTGTACTTTGTTCCCGAGCGTGAAGATAAGGACTGCCCAGAGCATGCAATGTATAGTAAACAGGCTGGACAAAAGATAGGTGCCTTTCTCACGAAACCAACGGCATAATAGAAGTGATCGCAATGTCTCCAAACGGTCTTTCTACATCACCAAGAATAAAATGTGTACATGTAATGTTGATTTTGTGTTTCAAATATGAACTCCAATAACCACTTACCTCCAGTGGAAATTGACACCTCTCCTGCAGCTCCCAGATCCCAGGAACACTTTACTCAGTCCCCTCTCCGGGCATTTAGCTTAACGTGTTTTGTATCTCTACAAGGCTCTTTCAACTAGATAACAAACTCCTGGAAGGTAGATCTTTTTCACCAGGGTTAGGGGCTCTACACAGAATAGGCACTTAGTGAATGTTTGTGGAATGCTAAAGGAGCATTATCTGTAAATTGTTCCTCCATCCCAGGGATGCAGGTGTTTGCTTTTAACAGTAGCACTGGGTGGCTGGCGCCTCATGGTTTACCATTACCACTTTTTGAGCATAATCTCATTTAATCCTCAGAGCAATCCTATTGTTTTTACATCACAGTTTAAAGAACCAGCCTGAGTTGAAATTGATTCTGTACCTTGCTATTTCAGAGAACAATAACCAGAATCATATAGATGAGAAATGTTTAAGCAGCGGTTCTTAATCTCTACGGGACCTCTTTGAGAATCTCATAAAAGTCTTGGTTCCTTTCCTTTAAAGATGTACACATATGATTTACATTTAAAAGTTCTCCACACTTTCAAAGTGTTCAGAATGACATTTTGAAAATCATCCACAAATCCTCTGGGTAAAAAGAGGTAAAGTAACCATAGCTTAGAGAGGGGCTGGGTGTAGGAGAAGGGGTCTCAGAGGAAAATATGACAGCCATTTTCAAATCTCTAAAGTAATGATATGAAAAAAATATATATGGGATAGGGTTTTGTGTGATTCTAAACGATTGAATTAAGATCAAGCCTCTGCCCCAAATTATTCCTGGGCTCCCTAATGCTCTTAGAATACTTTTCAAACTTCCTACCATGACCCACAAAACATGCATCTGGCTACTGTTTACATTCTCAACTTTTTCTCACCATTCTCAACGTTGGCTCACCACATTCCAGTCACACTGGCCTTCTGTCTATTCCTAGAAAACACCATCCTCTTTCCTGCCTCAAGGGCTTTGCTCTTCTCTCAGCCTGTAACTCATTCTGCTCCTGTTCACTTGGCTGGTTATAAACGTCACCGCCTCTAAGAGGCCTTCGGTGATCACGCTAAGTAGTTTCCACCTATACTTTTCTCACATAAGCTTTGGCTTCTTTCTTCGCAAGCATAAATCACGGCCTTTAATTATTTTTCGTTGTGGGTCTCCCCCACCCCCCGCCGCTCCCACCGTCTGCAATGTAAACTCCAAGATCAACAATCTTATGTGTTCACTCTAGCTCATCATTGTATCTCCAGGAACTACAGCACTTGGCACATAGTAGGTTCTCAGTAAATACTGTTGAAGGTATAAAAGGTGAATGGCGGAAACTTTCAGGAAGACTACGTAATCAGAGTTGTCCTAAGAAACGGGTGATCTTCTGGGGTGTGCAAGTAAAAACCGTACATTTGCTCACTCGGGACGACGGGGAGGGTTAAGAGGTGGGACTTGATGACCTCCAAGGTCCCCTTCAACTCCGAGTCTCTGATTTGACTACAGAGGTAAACAAGCCCTAGAAACATGTATTAAAGCCCGGCTGGGCATGCTTAGCGGCCGGGGCAGGTTTTCACTAGTATGGACGTTTTAGCTGCAGACTGACAGCAAGCAGCTGGACGGAAACTGCAGAGAAGAGACTCGGCTCTTCGCAGCTGAGAGACCTAAGGGGAGTGGTGTTGGGTTCGGCGTTGCTAACGTCAGGGAGCAATCGAGCCCCTCTACATCGTTCGCTTGTATCTCTTGGGCCAAATCAAAATCTATGGGCGTGCTGCGAGAGAAGACGACCGTGGCGGACTCAGAAACTTGCTAGTGGAGACGCGAAAACCCCGCGAGCCCCTAAGCTGCAACCGCTGACTGCGGCCCCGCGGCGCAGGCGCACAGGTTCCGTTCGCGCCCCACCTTCGACTCTAAAGAGCCAGGAGCCTGAGCGGACGTGACGCACAGGGGCGCGTCCAGGCAGGCTAGCCGAGGCCCGAAGGGGAAGCATCCAGGCAGGCTAGCCGAGTTCTGAGCGCGTCGAGTCAGAACAGGGGCGGCGGGAAAGGAGGCGGGGAGGACTTTTGGGCTGGCGGCACGCCCCCTGCAGGTGGGAGTGCAGCACTAAGCGCTATGCCTCGCGCCGCAACCGGCCGCAGTCACAGGGTTCCCTGCCTGGGTGCAGCCGCAACGATCTTCCTGAAGCAAACTTCAGATGCAGTTACTCTCCCGTTCGAGTCTCCACTGTCATACCAGAATAAAGTCCAAAGTCCTTAGCTTTGTATTCATGGCCTTGCACAATGGGGCCACTACTTACCTTTCCAGCTATATCACTCACTCAAAATGAACTACTATTGCCTCCTATAAACGCATTATTTCTGTCTCTTGTTTCTTGCCTATTCCGCTCCATCTGCCTAGAATGCCCTTCATCATCTTCCTCCAATCCCACCACAGCTTCACCCCACCTCCCATGTACACGTTCACCGTGAAACTCTTATCCACGCTGTCGCCGCCAGCACATATGCCGCCTTCTTTCTGAAGTCTTTTTCAGTCCGCATTTAGGGTTCCTCCCCTTAAACTTTATAGAGTCCAATAGGCATAAGAAACAGCGGTTTCAGCCATCAATAAAGTTAAGGTCTTCTCTTCCAGCAGCATATCCTCTCAATGCTTCCCCTCACCCTGTCTTTCTTCCCAATCCCCACTTTCAATTCCATTTCTCCAATTATGTCCCCAGAAAAATACACCAGAGAAAGCTGTGGCTGATAAAACCACTGGATAGCCATCCTTTATCACCTTTAGTTAATACTTTGATCCTCCCTCCTCTCTCTCTCTCTCTCTCTCTCTCTCTGGCAAAGATGGTGGGGAGCAAGGTAGGTACAATTAGAAGACATGATCATTTAGGACTATTCCTGGAACTTTTTTTTTTCAGGATCCCGGCAGAGTCCAGTTTTTGGCAAAAGTCTTTCTCCAGTTGATTCAAGTGGTAATGGCTCCTCAAACTGATTGCACCCCAATCCAATTCAACTTTCATTGAATTCCCAACAGTTTGTCATGGAACTTGATAAACTGGTTCTAAAATGTATATGGAATAAAAAAAAAAAGTTCTTCTGTTAAAGAGCAAGGTAGGGGAACTTGACTTACTAGATATGAAGACATTACACAGCTAGAGTAATTAAAACAACGTGGTATCAGAAAAGGAACGGACAAACATACCAGTGGACCCATCTCATTGCGGTGGCTTCTCTTGTTGTGGAGGACCAAATACACAGAAACAATTCATGACACAGCAAGCATTGCAGATGAGTGAGGAAAGGGTATAGTGCTCAACAAATGAAATATGCACAGTTGATAAATACATATAGAAAAGTGAAATTACATCCCTAACTCACACCTGACACAGAACAACCGCATGTGGATAAAAGACTTAAATGTAAAAAACAAAATTATAAAATTGTGAAAGGAAAATAAACAATATCTTTATGAGCTCAAAGTAGGAAAAGATTTCTCAAATAACACACAAACACAAACCATAAAGGGAAAGATTGATAAATTTGATTTTATTAAAACTAAGAACCTCTGTAAATCAAAATAAGGCATACAAAAAGTGAAAGCACAAGCCATTAAGTAGGAGAAAGTAGTTGCAACTCAACCGAAAAAGAATTAGTATCCAGGACAGGTGGTTTACTTTAATTTTTTTAAATAAATTTATTTATTTATTTATTTATTTTTGGCTGCATTGGTCGTTGCTGCAAAAAGAATTAGTATCCAGGACAGGTGGTTTACTTTAATTTTTTTAAATAAATTTATTTATTTATTTATTTATTTTTGGCTGCATTGGGTCTTCGTTGCTGCACACAGGCTTTCTCTAGTTGCGGTGAGCAGGGGC